TCCTGCTGATTCTGTAATAAAATGCTCAGATTACAGGGATTTCCTATTAGCGAGACATGTCATAGCAATATGAAAACCAGTACATGATCTGTCAGATCAAAGTATCTGGTACTAAATATCAACCAAACCACTAAATCAGACAGTAGTACCAAAAAAAGTCAGTTAATGTCTTTTTCAAAGGCGAGTCTTACAGTTCCAGTGCAATAAGGTCTCATTTTTCAGAATACTAAGTTGGAAATGAGTGCAAGCTCTTTAAATTAGACTTATTTTTGGTATATTTTTCAGACATTTAATAATGATTTAATCATTAACAACCCCTTAAGGATATCAGAACATTTATATAACCAATATACTGCCCAAATGGTTATAACAGGAACAAGAAAGTATGAAACCTGTAACGTTTTATTTAAAAAAAAATTAACAGCTTCAGAATAGATCAAATGTAATAACTTCTCCAAAAAATACCAAAAGGTACAGTGTAAAGCATCTTCTCATTAAATACAAACTAGCATTTCTTGATGCATTGCATCAATTTTTTGCATCTATGTTGATGCAAACGATTTTTTTTTTGTTGCATCCTGGCACATGGAAAATGTATACACTGAAACAGGATGACTAACACCACAATATCTATTCAAATTCTAACTGTGATTTTTTTTCAAAAAAAAACCTTTTAGCAATTAAGACAAAAAAAAACAACACCATTACTAAAAGTTTGGTTTTGCTAAGGTATATTTTTCAACATTAAAAATAAGGTTTTAAGTACTATATACTGTGAAGGATGCATTCTGACATTAAAACTGCTATATGACAGAAATCCATCTCCTGTCAAATCCTCTTCAACATGTACATTCAGGGAAACAGCTAATCAACTTGGAACTCGAGATAAAAATGCAAGGAAACCATCTTAACAAGTGTAAACTCTTCAAGAAAAATATGTGTAATTAAAAACACTTTACACACCATAAACATTTGTGGATGCAGCCAGCCAATCACTCTTTTACCTGGCTGTACCTAAAACATATTGCTGTAGAACAGAGTTAAGTTCATCACTCCCAGTATTGGAAGCAATTTTGACAGCAAGTTAATTATGAACAGGTGCCTTTTTTAGGGATGGTATAAATTCACAGTAAGGAGCCCAAATTGTCACCATCTTTCACTTTGATGCATAAAACCAGGCACTAAGGAAGCAACTCTGTGAACTACTTAATGCCTTACACATGCTGCCAGACTGAGGGCTTTATTCCAACAACTGTTGCTCGATTTCAGCTAACTTTAGGATGCCTGAGCACTGTTGATCAGCTTCACATCTTTCTTACCTCTCTTTGGTACATACAAACAAATGCCATTAAGTTGCTTGTCTCTGGCCATTTCTGAGAGACAGGGAGAACCCTCTTGGGAAAGATGACACTCCTGTGTCTGAAGGTTAGCAACTCTACCACACCACTGACTTTCTTCTGAAGTGTTGTATTTATTCCTACAAAATTATTCAAAGAGATGTGAAGTTATTGCATTCAGTTTATGAGGAGGAAAAAAAAAAAAGGCTTACAAGAAGAAATAGGAAGTTTAAGATTAAAAAAAAGGGGGGCACAGACATACTCCATTTGCAGAGGAGGAACTTTAGCTATAAACTATGACCATACTGCCTGTGAGGTATTCTTCTAGTGTGATTTGAACCACATTTAAGGATAAGAGTAGAATCGTTTCCAACCCGATTACATATTTTGGGTCTCAGCTAACAGCTTTATTTGCAAAAATGAAGATGCAAAATTTTTAGTCTCCAAGGAAGGGGAAAAAAAAAGAAAAAAAAAAAAAAGAAATCAAACATCAAAAGCATGAAGAATTACAAGCAATGCAAAAAGAAAAAAAAAAAGAAATCAAACATCAGAAGCATAAAGAATTACAAGCAATGTTCCCATGAAAAATGCTGCTACATCACTACGAGAATATTCACAGACTAAGGCTCTGTGCCCAACTGCAGTCCAGAGGGAAGTTTATAGGCAGTCCTAACACCATAAAAATGGGACTGTAATGAAAACATTGACGGTCTTTACTATAGCAGGGGATCAAAGAACAGGTACTGAGCACTCCTAAACGAAACAACCCCCCATCCCCCGCCAAAACTTTTATCCTCATGTTTGCATTTTGATTATAAGATGAACCAAAAAAAACAGTATTTGTCATCAGCTGGGCAACAAAATCTTTTTCAACCAGATCATTGTGTCGCTCTGGCAGGTTTGTTTCCCCACTTTTTCACCCTAGGGCATCATGTATTTTACTGTTCCAAGTAAAAAGTAATAAAGACAGTTATCTCTGCCAGTATCTTAGCAAGAAGTCTGGAGAATTTCAGTGACGTATGCTGTGTTCTTCTGCCCACTTTTATCTCAGTTTCTTGGATAGGTGGGATCAGTACAGAATCCACTCAGCAGGTTAGCCCACGGTTACAAAACGGCTTCCTTTGCTCTGGGACAGCGCTGTTCTTTGTTCCTTCAAGATCCCAAAACGCTCATTCAAAGTCATTCCTGTCTGGAAAAATAAGTTTATTTCATTACACACTTGAAAGATGTTAGGCTAATTTAATCAACGTAATGTAGACGGAATAATTCCTTCCTCATTATCATCACATGATTGTAAGTGCATTTCTGACTAAGATTTAATTTGGTTTCACCCTTTCCAGCACCATTTAGAAATCAGAATGGAGTACATACATATCAACTGCTAACACTTCCTGGAATTCATTAAGAACATATGGTACAAAGTCAAGGCTGAAAATGAACTCGAGAGAAATGTAAGTTAAGCTGAAGACAGACTGAAAAGGGGAACTTTCACTTGACTCATTTCCAAGCACGGGTTCTGTGTAGCTTCAACAAATGCAAGTTTCTAACTACTTTAACACAGGTTATTTTCCAGTCCATCCAGTTGAGGCAGTAAACTAGCACCTAGTCCGACATTTCAATTAATTTTTTTTTTAGACTATCAGCAACACACTATTTGTTTATGGAAGAAAAATCCTGACCAATCCTCTGAGCCCATGTTTTCTGCAGAGGGTATTAAGAAGGCTGATTACAAGAACAGTCTGATTTTGTGACTGGAATCTCCAGTGCCTAATTCTGTCCCTGCCGATTTTTTTTTTTTCAAGTGAGAACACTAAGATTACCTCTCTTGCACTCACTCATCTGTTTTCAAGAAACTCTTGAAAATTTATTCCTCTCAAACCTTTATACCACTGTATTTGATTTTTTCTTTTTATTTTCTCTTGCTGCATAACAAAAATTGCTCTGATGCAGCTGAAAAGTAACAAAATGCAGAAGACAGTGTCCCATGCAAGTTACACAATTGTAGAAAGCTCATCCCTGAATTACACACACTTGCCGATTCAAGCAGCAGGAACATCAGAAGGATTTTACAGATATTCATCATTTTAAATCCCACTCAAAGCACATGGTCATGCAAGACTTAAACCAGAGGAGCAGGAACAGTAAGTGTAGGTATTTGCTTGAAGTTACATAACACGTTAGCGGAAGAACTGGAAAGGGAAACAAGAAGTAGTTACTAGTTCCCTCTTTCTGTCACTAACAGGAGTAAAGTCCCTGGCTCAACAACTTTATCTATTTTGGAACACTCCACAGTTAAGAAAGAATCTGCTTTTACCTGTTTTCCAACACTATTGATATCAAACTGCAAAGGAACTCCTTTGGGAATCTTCTTCTCTTCAGATTGGTCCCTCTTCATCAGAAATGGGGGCACAGGAGTACGAGTTAATCGTAATTTCTGGGAACTTGAAAGACCAATATTAAAACAGATAGAGTGAATATGAGATTTCTAAAGTGAAAACACTTTACTGCTGGCAGAATAACAATTTTGACTGTTTTTACTCTGTGTTGCAAATACAAAAAAGGAAAAAAAAGTAGATACAGGTTTCCTTACAGAATAGGCACTACTAATGAAAAACAACTCTGATCTATAATGCCATCATGAAACACAACAGTTCCTTCAACTTTAAAATCAAATAGAGCAATGCTTTCTTAAAGAAATTCTAAACAGCTCCTTCCTGATTCACAAAGATGTATTATCATCACCCAGCAATTAGACGGCCATCACTGATACTCAATCAAGCAGGGGAGGAAAACTGCCACAATATGGCCTGATTCAGAACAGGCAGATAAGGTGAAAATCTACCCAGCCCAACACAATTCAACCTTATGCCACGTTAAGTTCCTCAATGGGAGGCTCCTTGTGAGAACCACTCAAAAAAACGACTGATTTTAAAAGCTTTCACAAGAATATACCTGAAATAATATACGCAAAGAAATTGCTAAACGACTCACAAACAGCGATTTCAGTTATGCTAAGAACATTTTAGAACTACTTTTACTACGCACATTGGATTTATGATTGCTCCTGGGTTGTCAATAGATACAGTCAGAATCCCTCCACTTGTGGTAGAAGTTCGCCATCTAGTCGGAAAACACAGAAATTACTTATCCCAATCAAAATTTCAGCAATACTTTTGCATCTTTAAATGTGTGTCCCAAACAGTGGCTAGTAAAGAATGTTTGTCTGTAGTCTTTGTACTGCCCCTATAATCTGCATTTGATAAGGTATGAGAAGCTCCTATTGACTTCTGTATCCTATACCTTACCTAAGACTGTCCAAGTAAGCCCTGGATTGCATGCTGGCAAGATGCACCAACACTGCTGCATTGATTGAAGTATTTGTATATTTTTCAAAAGATTCACTGTTACTTTCCACAGATGCAGCCAAATTGCCCTTTGTAGCACATCAGAAGTGACAGACTGCAAGTTGGTGGCACATGCTGCTTGCTTATCCTGTTATGTCACCAGCAACCAACTGTGAAAGAGCCTAGCTAGCAGATGATATGAGAAGTGTATGGAACAAGTATTGCATATGGCCTGTCTCACATACTTTTAATTACTTCATAGGTTCTATACATATATTAGATAGAATGAAAATTACACAAAGAGCTTAGGGAAGTGCTGACATGAGAATTTTTCTCCTAGTCCATACAGTGTCTTAGTGTCCTAGTCTGTACAATGTCTGCCATTAGTGGTAGTGACTAGTCTATCTAGCTAGCACCTTCTCCTTCATTCTTGAGCATCTTTTGCAATCAAAAGCATCTTGGTTAACTTAGGCAATACTTTAGAAAACACATGGGGAAAAAAAAAGAAGAAAAAGGGCAGGAGGGAAGAAAACCGCTGCCATAGAATTCAGACACCTATATTCAAAAATCAATTATCATATCCAGGAGCACAAGGTAGATCCAAAACTAAAGCAATACTGTAAACAAGTAACTAAACTGAAGTTTATCAAATAAAATACTTACTGACGTGTTCTTTTTACTGTCTGATTATCTAGATCATCTGCTGGCTGCACTTGGGTCTGAACCTGAAATCACATAAATAGGGACACCAGATCTGAATACCGTTTCAGCTCCCACTGTAGCAGCTGGAAATACAGCAGTTCAAAGAGAGAAGTTTAGAAATGTTTGTACATTCAGCTGTACTTCCAAAGAGACTTTAAAGGTGTCTATCCTATCACTTTCATAAGATACTGGAAGGGAATAACTAAGAACATAGCATGACGTAGAGTAATCCATGATAGCAACTTCAGCAATAAAGAGATGAAGAACAGTGTCCACCTGCAGTGATAGGAGAGAAAACTGGAAATGAAGGGTAGGAATAAATTAAAAAAAAAAAATCAAAAGTACACATATAGCCCTACATACAGGCAACATTTTAGAGAATCCTAGGAGATGGTCAAAATAGGAGACACTTAAGGATTGCCTCAGAAAACACACGCTTCACCTACATACACCAAAATGTTACCAGGCCAGCAAGAAAAACATGTAGAGTTCCTCATCTAATCAATTATAATATACATAATATAATATAATACTTAATATACCACTGCTATTCAATATACCACCTCCTATTTATTCCATCTTACTCAAAGGCACTAAAAACATTTACTAAAAAACATTTACATGCAGAAAAGGTGAATGTATTACAAATTCTAAGCTGTATTTCTGATCCATCCACTAGAATACGAAGCAAAACTAAAAGCATTACCATAACTGAAAAGAACAAGTTTGATTTGCCAGAAAAACATGTGACTAATTTACAAGCCATCTTCTCAGATCTGATATTTGAAATTCTTTAATTAATGGCAGTTGTATTATGCAGGCTGTCTTAGAATCTGTGGCACAACTTTTGTTTAAGGAATTTTATTACCTTCAGGCCCCTTCTAAACAGGAAGGTCGCTTGACGAGTGTCTTTCTGTTGATTCAGTTTGTTTCCAATTCTGGCAAAAGTGGATTGTATGTTATTCCTGTAATGTTTATAAAATAGTTATTATAGGCTCCCGTAAGTAACATTTTAAAAAGACCACTATGAAAGTCAAGAAACTGTCCAACACATCTCTGAGGACATTGCAGTGCTACCTCCTTGAGACTAGAGATTTCAGTTGCAATAACCTTCTCATCTATTAGGACTAAAATATGTTTAGTCACAACTACAATTAATCTGGAAATGGAGAAATCATTTCTGTTACACAGAGATCTAGGACTCCTACGTTTATGTCAGAGAAGAGCAAACTCACCAATTCTGCTTTTTTACCTTCTTCAATATCCACCAGTACTTTAAATACTGCTAATTGCAAAAGTAAAAAAAAACTATCAAGACTCAGAGCAGAATTGGGTGTACCAGCCCAATCCATTTAAGTTGTGCTATAGCCTCTAAGAGAAACAGCAGAATGGTTTAACCAGAGTAAGATTAACACCCTTTCCCAAGGAATCAAAGGTGACAGTTAAGCTATTACAGTTCACTTGTCAGCACCATTTTCTAGTGAGCCTCTCAGTAGTTAACCCCTAGTCTAGATTATAGACCAAATGAGAACAATGAACAAGTTTCGTTTACAATTTCCTCAGTGAGTCACATAGTGAATATCACAGAAAACAGTTTACTTGCAGTCTAACAGATTAATTCTGTTACAAAGAAAACATGCAATAGCATCCATGAAGCTGAAGATGGCACTAGCTTCCACAAAGGTATTTTGTTTAGAAATTATATCATGGTTACCACTTCCAGGACATAGAACTCTTAAGTTAGCCATTTTCATACAGACTATACTTTAAAAAAAGGGCAGAATACTATATTTTCATAAATAAATGTACTTCCTGAGTGCTCTGCACAATGATAAATACCTGGCTTTGTATCTGAGATCATGTTTCTGCTATGTTCAGCTTCCAGATTTGTCAAGCATATGAGGTTTTACCTTATTACCAGTACCTGCCATCTCTTCATGGGATCAGTCCAGTCAGAAACAAAACTCACTACAGAAATTGATTAAAAGTTTAGAAAGGAGACTTAGATATTTTACCTTCTGCTTAGTGGGGCAGGTCTCCTGAGGGCTGGTGCTTGTTTTCTCTGCATTTCAGATTGTCTCTGCAGGGTTGTTTTCTTTTTCAAAATTGGGTAATTCCGCTGTGTATTCTTAAACAAAAAAGATATATTGCATATATGTATAAGGTATACACACACAGAAAACAGAATTGAGAACCATATGGCTATAACCCAAATTTTCTATTTTAAGAAAATAGAAATTTTCTATTTTAAGAAAAAGTAGAAATACTTCACAAATTAAGTAATAGCAGACTAAGTCAGATCCACTCCAGTGCAGCACTTCCATCCTGTATAAGACAATTGTGTGTGCTTAAACCCGTTTACTCAAAATCGTGAGAAATTCCAAAGAATGACTTTTGCTGTGTTTTTCTTAATATATTACAAGCAGCTCCAGGAGGCTTAAGAACATCTTTGCTGTTTCAAACTTCTTCAGATTTCATGGCATTGAAACTTAATTTCTTCGGTTTGATTTTTAACCTGCATAAAGAATGTGTTTGTTTTTGCCTACTTATCACATTCTAGTATAGTTCAAAAATGGTCTACACTTCCACAAATTATACACTCTCCTCATTATTGGGCCAAATAAAGCAGAGTTTAGTGGCCACTTCTTCATTGTCCTACATATAACTGACAGTATGATGCGCCACACACCTTTAAAATAACTCTTCACAAATAAACCCCAAAGCAATCCAAATTGTACAATACTTGATTAGATGGAGCAAGCAACAATATACTGGAGGGTGCCAGAGTCAGTCTGTTGAGAGCAGCAAGTATTTTACAAAACTTCCATTTCTGTAAGAGGTGCTTAGCACCTGCATGTCTGCTGCATCATTTGTTGTCGCAAAGCAACGTGAAAGACAACAAAAAAACAAAATCTACTTGTAGAAATAATTACCTGCAAGTACCCCTTTCCAAGGAGATACTCCTGCACTAGGATTTTCATGATTTGCAATTCAATCAAGTGCTCAAAAACCTTCAAGTAGTTTTAAGTATATTCAGGCCTGGTCATTAGACACCCTGCTTGTCATTAGACAAACACAGGCAACACTTGTCATCACTGATTTAATCAAAGATTGTACCAGAAGCCTGTGCATCATTATAGAATCAGTGTATTAGAAAAATTTTAAGTGGCACTATTAAGAAACATGTGTTCCATACTTGTAATCCACCTGTACTTTTAGCAAAGTCAGGGTTACCCCTGATGTAACCAACCATTACAATTTCACTAATTACCTTCTCACTAAGTGGCTGTCTGTTCAGAGGACTAATTCCTTTGCGCGAACCCATTGCCTTCTTGGCTGCCAAGCCAGTTATAACTCCGTAAGAACGTTTCTTCCCTGCTACCTTCTTTCTGCGTCCCAAACGATTTTTCCCATAACCTGCAAAAAGCATGAGGAGTGCAACAACATTTATTGAAGGAAAAAGGTTATTGCTAAGATGGTCTGCAGACAAGTCAAGTTATCTGGCTACACACACTGGCTGAAAAAAAAACTACCGCTGCATTTGCAAACAATTTGGTCATTTAGTTAATTTAGCAGGGCTAGACCTAGCACAACAATAACCAGCTTTTCACAAAGATCCCAGTTTTGTTCCACTTTACTATATTAACTTCTGCTGAAAACCTGTAACTATCTGGCATTTGTGTAGAGACAATTTAGAAGCCTTTCTGTGATAGAAAAGCATCAAAAAAATCCAAACTGGCTGCTAATCCAGTGCCTAATAATAATAAAATTATCCAGCTCCCCAACCATCCAGCACACTTCAAATTACCAGCTTGATAAAAACGAAAACAAACAAACAAACCACCACCCAACTGGCTTCCGAGCTTGTTTATTTAGATCAGGAGTTCCCAAGAGTTCTCAGTCAGTCCCAAGGCAGTCAGTCAGGCAGAACTTCAAGAAGTGTAAGTAAAAATCACAGGTGTATTTAAAATTTTATATCTGCATCTCAAATTGCTCCTGACAGTCTAAATACTAGACTATATATACTCTAATATTTGCTTCTTTTGGGCCCCTAAAAACAATTGCATTGACGATCACAATTGTAATAGTATATAGTATGATATTGTATGTAATAATCAAATATGTTGATTATATTACACGTTATCTACCACTTAAAATCACTTACTCTTTCATCTCCACAAATATTCTTATACTTAGGTTGAGAAACCTCAAACATTTTCTTCAACTGTCACTAATTTACAGAAACACACACAAACTAAGAAACACTTCTGTCATCACCTCTGTAAAAAATAAGATTCTTTTGGAGCCTTGAGCTATAGGCTATTCCATCTCTCCCAAAAGCCATTTTTACACAGGACGCTAATGCATTGTATATATAGGATGCTCAACAAGAGTGCTGCTAGAACAAATATTAAACAAAAACAAAGATAAAATTAGGATTATTGTGAATTACTGTGATTACTGTGACCAGCACTTTAGTAAGTTACACACTTTGACACTAAATGAAAAAAAACAAAAACAAACAAAAAAACCCTGCATGCCAGATTAAACCATTCATTTAGACTGAAGCTATAAACTTCTTCATTAGACAGTATTTTCCCCCAAATTTTGTCATACAGTGCTGAAAAAAGTAAAAGCAGTCTTTACTTCAGCAAGAGCTAGTAGTACTGCACTAACACCTGAGAATCATTTCAGCATGTGAATCCTCTTTATTGAAAAAGTCAAGAGGTACTCAGGGAATCTACGATAAGTTGTTACGGTGCTACTCTTCCCCTTATGACCCCTTCTCTAGTATTTTTTCCTCTGCTTTTCTACTCCACTGCATAAACATGGAGTCAAGAAACCTGGCATAGCACTTCCTTGCAGCCCAAGGTCTTACCCAGAAAAGCTGACTCAGACATTCTGGACTATCCCTTTGCATATCCCAGAGGCAGCACTACAGTCTGCAGCAAGAGCTATTTTTGAGACAGCTACTAGGAAAATTTTATCTCACAAATACAAATATGGTGGCTGTTTAGCACAATGCTCTGAGGTCTGGCAAGGCCTCCATATTTCCCTATCCATAGAGTTTGACCTCAGCACTCTTTCTTCCTATCTTTGAGGAAGGACAAAGCACCAACACAGTTTCCCAAATTAAAATAAGCTCCCTCATGATCAAACACATCAATGCTGTTCTGACTGAACCAAATACAAAGGCAAATATAAATGGATCACCAAGAACACAATTACAGCCAAAACTGTATATAGCACTATTTGAAAGACACCTGAATTGACTATGTCAATTCAAACATTTTCCATAGGTCACTTTTCAGCTCATAAAGTTATTGTGTAGCCCATACTATGATTAAGATACATACCTTTCTGCTGCTGGATTCCCCACTTGGAGCCTGGTGTCCTGAACTGACGAGCGCCATTCTGAGGAAGTCCCCTTTTCGTTTTGGGAGAATATTGCTTTCGTTCTTCTTTTTTATTCAGCTTGATTAAATCATCTGTAAGGGGAAGGGGAAGGAAAAAAAAAAAAAAAAAAAGAAGTGTTCTGATACTTTGCAGATAAATTCCAGTTCTGTAGAAAAACCAAAACCCTAGCAGCTTGGAGACAGGTGGAACAGACCAGTTAATCTTGCAAAGCTAGCACATACAAGTTAAAGTTCCAGAAATGTTATCTCTATAAAACACCCAGATCACGAGTCTTAAGAGTACATATTTTATAAAATATTGGCCTCAGCAGAAAGATAAGCAGTTATATTCACTCAGAATACTCAAGATGCTTCAAAACTTGTGTCATTTAGTCCAGCATTAAATTTTATGTCTAAATGACTGTTAGTTTGTGTATACTACCTGTAAAGAAAAGGTAGCCCCATCTCACTCCCACTTTCCAAATTCCAGATAAAATGTCAATTCAAGTCTCAGCTCTTTCATCCAAAGGTACTAAAGGAAGACATGCAAGGAGAACTCAGGCAAACAGTTTTCTTCATAAGCTCACTGGGGTCCAGATCATTAGGAAGAAAAGCAAGGAAGACCTCTCTCCCTCAGGGATCTGCAAGCCAAACCAATCATCTTACCTGTCATCCTGGAAAACAATGTGGAACAAATTATTATCAGGTTGAAAACATGTATAAAACAATAAACCGATGGAAAGTAAAAACGAGTTTGTCACAAATTATGTCAAATCAGTTTTATTTCCTTCACTAATCAGGTATGTGGCTCAGGAGATGAGACTAAAGCATGTTGTGGGGTGCTTTATTTGAATTCTAGCTAGCTTATAAAATGAACACAGAAGAAAATGTCAAATTGCATCTAGATCATGGACGCAGAACCGATACAAGCTACCACAGGAATGTGGACATCCCTTTTGACTCAGGGAGAGACTGAGTGAGAGTTACTATATTCAACAGAGTTCAAATGCATGTGGATAGAGTAGAACATTAAAAAAAAAAAGGAAAAAAAAATGTTTGGCATCCCACTGAACTAATGATAGGAGGAAATTAGCTTGCTTTACTGCAGAAGTGATTGTGTATTATTGTGTATTAGGGGGGAAAAAAAAAAAAGTCTTTAGAGTAAGGAATACATACACAGGTAACTCAGGGTTTGATGTCGACAGACTCTTCTTTACTATGGTGATCATCCCTAGTCCAGGAATTCCCGAGCTATCCTTCACATACAACAAAGGAAACACAAGACAAAAAGCTTCTCCAACTTTTAGGAGCAAACACATAATTCTGCTTAATGGGTACTTCCACTCCCCTATATACCTGTGATACGAAATGCTATGTTTCAAGGGCATGATCAAATACACAAACAAATAATATTACAGTCTTCATCTTCGGATTCCCAGGCTTGCTCTGTCAACTTTATTGATATCATGACAGATGTGGGATTAAATCTAATCTTTGCTCGCTGCACATCACACAGCATAGGTCATGGTGTTGACTTGAGAACAGCAGGCATGGACGACACTGTTTTCATGCAAGTAACTCTTCAATTAAAGTTGTTGAGGGACACCCACAAGAGCTTCTTAAATAAAGCGCCATCCATTATGCTGCAGAAGTTCTTTGCAATCTAGTATTAGTCAATGTCCAGGAACCTGCTTGTGTCTTGCTCAAAGGAATATGGCCAAAAAAACAACAGTACAAAAGCAGACAGAGCTACTAAGAATCATTGATTCTTAGTCTTGGTAACCTTGGAAACACATTGATTCAGTCTTCTAGATTAAAGTAAAAACATATTTACATACAAACAACAATTCCATATTCAGAAAATCTCTGCACATCATCAGAAAACAAACTGAAAAATCCATTTAATCTGAGCCAAGCCACAAAGGTTGGCTCTATATCAACTGTCTAACTCAAATCACAAATCCCCTTTTTGAAGCAAGCCCCCGGTAATACCCATCTACGAGGCTTTGGTAGCATCATGACAGCTCGGAGCAAACTCCACTCCTTCTGCATAAACCTGGAAGATGCACTCCTGGAAGGTTCCGAATGTGCTCCACAGCCTTACGGGGCTCAGTGAAGAAGGCCAGAGCAGGTACCACTGAGATGCAGCTCTACAGATCTTTTAAGAGGCTTCATAAACTTCTCTAACACAAACAACTGCCTGGAGGTTTTATGGGCTTTATTCCATTTTCATATCTTCGCAACAAGAATGAATAAAAGGAGTGTGAGCACAGACATTCTCCAGTAGAAAGGTTCCACAAGGGAAAGCTGGGAATCATCTTCGACAGATTTTCCTAGGGAACTACCGGGTAGAGCCAACATCGCGCCTAGCGCGACACGGAGGCTACTTCAGAGGAGCCACAAGGCAGAGCTGCCGCTCCCCGCTCAGAGACCGGGAGAGGAGAGGGCGGCGGAGGGCGCCCTGCCCGCCCCTGCGCCAGGCCGGCCTCGCAGGCTCCCCGGGACCCGTTCCCGGCGGAACAAAGGGATCCACGGCCGAACCGAGCCGGGCCGGGCCGGCTCCCCCCGGCACCCCCGCCGCGCTCCGGCCATGGTAGGGCCCTGATCCCCCCGCTCCACTTGGCAAGGTCCGCTCCCCCTACAGCCCCCGCGTTGGTTCCGCCCGGCCGGTTCGTTCCGGAGCGCGCTCCTCCCCCACCAGGCGCCGGCATTTGGTTCAGCCCGTGCGGCTGACCCCCCGCCGCGGGGCACCGGGCCCGGCTCTCCGTACCGAGCGACATGTCGATCTTCTCCAGGCTGTCGCTGCTGCCGTTCCGCGCAGTCGAGGAGCCTGAGAGCGGCTTCGCAGCCCCGAACGCGCTCATGACTGCCCGCACCACAGCCGCCGCCTCGGCCAACCGCGAGCGCGTCGCGCGCATGCGCAGGGTGCGGCAGCGCATGCGCGGCAACCTCCGCCCACCCCGAGCACGGGCAGCACTCGGGCGTGCCCTCCGCGGTGCCTTCCGCGCATGCGCAGGAACCGCGGCCCAGCCGCGGAACAGGGCGCCTGCGCAGAACTGCCGCCCCCTGTGGGCCGGGAGAGGGCGCCATGATCCTGGTGGGGAGGGTAGCGGGCCTCTCCACAAAATAGGAACAGCTTGAATGAGAAAACTAATGAGGCCCTTTATTTTTTTCTTTATTTTCGCATTTTCGGGGGCTGTGTGCGCTGCTGATCGGCCAGCAGCACACAAGTGCTAGGACGTGAGCTGGATGCTGCTAGACAGGTGGTATCCAGGCTGGGATCTCTCATCTTCATCCAGTGGGACTTCTTTCCTCCATCCAGCTACTCCTTATTAAACGTAAGCGATTGTTAATTATCACTGAAATCTCTACATCTTGCTCAGGTTTGGTTGAAATTGGTCAATGTATTCAAAAGATAATTAAGGGAAGGAACAGACAGGCCCAGTGTAAAACAAGTGTCCTTGGAGAATCAGAGGAAGGGCTGAGGCTTTCTGGTCTCTGATGCGTACTGCAGAACAGATCAGTAACAAGGCTTTGCACTTTTACACTTCTTATGCATCTCTCACCTTTTAAAATAAGGCAGATAAAGTCGTTCTGGATGTTTATCTTGCTGTTTTCAACTGGATAAAGGAGAATGATTCAATTAATGACTTAGGACGTCTTCAATTTGTGATAGATTTTCTCTTGTCCAAGCAGCAGGAGCCTGTGAGGAGTGCAGGAGGCCACGAGTTCTGACCTCACTTTCTTCTCCATATTCACGATGTACAGCTTCATTTCAAGACTTGGAGTCAGAGATTTGAAATGTGTTTTTCTCCAGACATTCATATGAGTGGGACTTGAGTTTTTCAAAGGTTCAATTTCTAAAGGGAAGATACTACTACAGAGTTAGCAATAAATACCAGTATTAGCGGTATTAAAATCAAATATCATGTTTTTTGTAAAATTTTAAACCGCTTATCTGTGGTGTTATGGGGTGTAGCTCCATCTGGTGACTGTGTCACTCTGATAAACAAATGCTTTGTTTAACCAGCCACAAATATGCTAGCTGTAAAGGTGACAGATGCCACCTGTCCTTGTGACAGGTGGAAGACGGACAAAATGCAGATTGTAGCACATCAGCTGGTGGCATTTATTATCAAAACAGGGTATCAGCAGTCCGCTATTCAGCACAATGGAAAATCAAGGAAAGGTTCTGTTACTGAAGAGCATTTGTTTCTTCAGAGCCTCAAATGGCCAAATTAATTTAGGGACCATGTAGCAGTTTGCAGCTTTTGTACTGCTGTCTAGCTGTCAGGAATATGGCAGCTTCTAGCCAAGTGACACTGGCTCCATGTGGCATTGAATTACAAATGTCTTGTACTTTAGTTATATACAAAACTTTGTTCTGTTGTAGACTGTATTTTGGTCTTCCTGCATCCTGTTCCAACTCTCAGGGTCTTTGAGAATAGCAGCATGTTTATTCTCTTATTAGTAGAGTCTTGTGTGTCAACACATTGGTATGTTTGAATAATTTTGTGTCTCTCTCGTACTCAGTTCAGTCTGCAGGACTAACACTGTTTTCACTTACTGAAATGCTATGCAGTCCTTCCAAGTTTGTGTCCCACCAAAGGGAGACACTATGTCTGAAGCTACCCCAGGCTGTAGTATGTGTTGGAGCCGACTCTTCTTCCCCATCTATTCTTGAGCACTTGTTGCCCCCTCAGAACTGAGACGCCAGGGTCTGGCTGTCCAGAAATCCCTCTCAATATGGTACATTGTGGAGGAGTTATGCAGTAGGTGTTAGCTGTTAAACATCATGGTTGAAATTCCCTAGAGGAGCTGTTACAATTACCAAGAAGAAACCACACCCAAAGAATCAGGTACTAAGGGCACTCACAGATTAAAAGCCAGAGGGGACCATCTAGTACAGTCTGTATGTCCACAGGCTGTGGAATATCCCACCTGAATTGATCCTGGAAATACATGAGTTGTTAGCATCTTCCGAGGAGGCTTTTGCTTTTTTTTTCCTCCAAGATACAGCCTTTCTTAGAAACAGGAGCTTATTACTACCATGGGATTCTCCAGCATCCACCAGTGTCTGCCAGTTCTGCCTTCTCCAAGAGGTACTTTTTGTACGGAAAGAAATGACACTGGGTTAATGCCTGACTTGATGTCACCCAAAATTCCCCAAGCAGGAATTTGGTCTGCAAGGCTCTGGATTCCACTACTGTTTAGCATAAAGATCTGCTCTCGTATTTTGAAATTTGTTGTCCTCTCTTGCACTCCTTAAATTTGCCTCTGCAGAATAAATTGGGAGAACCTCCTCCTTTTTAGTCCTCATTCAATCCTATAAGCCAGTCGATGTATGCATGTATATAGTTGGTGTCTTTGCAAACGTATTGCAGTCAGGACCGTGTATTTATCATTAAAAGTTACCGGAATTTTCCACTGTGTACACGCTACAGAAACCTCAGCTCTCTGGGACAGCCCTGGCACATCAAATGGCTGTGGAGACACATTTGGGTTTCTCCACCCACAGTCGCCTGTCACAGAGCGTTCTCAGCCTGATGTCAGCAGTGTCACTTTTTCCAGTTTCATTTCTTTGATTTTCTAAGTGGAAAGTCCGCAGGATTCCGGCATCTTTTCCACAGTTCTTTGCAGTGGGTGGCAGAGCAGAAAACCGCTTCCCGCCTGTGCCGCGAGGCGCTGCGGCGTGGTACGGCTCAGGACTCCTGACGCGGGGCTCGGCCGGCAGGTATCTCGCTCAGCGGGTATCTGAGCTCAGCGGCCGCCCCGCATCCAGCCCGCCCTCCGCAC